ACAGGATATGTGAGCTGAATAATATTGGGTCAGATTTTATTTTTTTGACCCAAGGCCACTACTTAACTTAGAAGGAATGACACATGCAATATTTAAAGTCACTTACATAATGTTATTTTTGTGTGTGCCTGTATGTGCATGAAAACGGTCTTCGCATCATGTAAAAAGGAAATCCTTTCCTTTTCAAGATACACACTGACTTGTTTATGAATAAAATGGCACGATGTCTGAGGCTTTTTGTTTTTTTTTGTTTGTTTGTTTTGGGGTTTTTTGGGTTTTTTTTCGGTTCAAAATAATGAGGAAGGCAGAGTGAAGGGGGCTGAACTGGCCAATGGGTAATGGTTTTTGGAATTGGGTGATGGGTCCATGGGGTTCACGACACCATTCTGTTTACTTGAGTGGAGGTTCAAAACATTTCATAATAAAGAGCTGAACCAAAAACTTTAAAGAGAAAAAAAAGAGTCAAGAATAAATCTGCCAACGTAAGAACTTTATGTAGGCGTCGTAAAGCAACTGATCACACCTGGACTTGCTTTTAAATTGTAGTGGCTAAAATAGACTTGGTTGTGCTTTTTTTAACCAGACAGTATAAAGGTGAGTAAGCTTCTGCCCTTGTCAGACAACAAACCACTCATCATTTCTGGTCAGATTCCAGACCAGTCACGAGTGACATTTACTCCCCAAACTGCTGCAATACTAGATTTATGTCACCAACAGAGATCAGGTGGCAGTTCCTAAACTCAGGATAATTTTGATGAAAGCTGTAGGTGTGGTTTTAAAGGCTGTCACAAAGACTTACTGAGCAGAAGGAAGGGCAGATTGGTTGGCTATAATGGCTGGTTAAGCTCATGTTTAATCACCTTGCACTCCCAGACAGAGCATCCCAAGAGCCTGACGGACATGGTCATTATTTCTGCAGGATTTTTGAGAAATCAGCAGTTCTATTTTCAACTGGTAAATTGCTCAAGCTAATGGTAGCCATGGAATCCTTTCCTCTCGCTGTTTTTTTTCTTAGCGGGTTGAGGTGAAGATTAGAGAGGTAATATCAAAAATCACCACTTAATATCTGAAATCATCACACCTCCACAACCAAATGCATAGATGCGAGCTTTCTTTCTGATTGGCAAGATACTAGCCTTCTTCTCAACTTATTTAAGCATCTAACACCCTGAGCTGGCTCAATTCCTCTCTAAACCTGCCAACAAAATCTAAGTGAAGAATCGTAGTGACCAATTTGTGGGACGTGCGCAACCCGGGATGTCAGTGACCCAGAAAAACGCAGGGCATCATGGCCTGGGATGGGTAATATCTCCAGGGGACACATGCTTGAGACCAGCCTCCCTGACCTGTAAAGGGAGGGAGGAAATGGAAGCCGAGCTCTCGGCGGGAGGAACCTGGATGTGGGTGGCGGTGGCAGCCCTGGGCAGAGAAGGGCGTGTTTCTGGGGGAGCCTTGTGCCCTACTTGTTTGCTGCACTTTTCCAAACCACAAAGCCCCTGCCAAGGCTGATCACAATCTTCCACGCTATCTGCAATGTCATCTCTCATACAGACACGCAGTCAGTGCTGTGAATTCTAAGGGCGCTCCCATGAGGAATCTTGCTTTTTCCCAGGGCCATGCTGTCTGGCCCCCCAGGCCCACAGCAGCACATACCCTCAACGGTGTCAATGGGACCGACTACATCCCCATTAACTTCCCTCTCTCCTTTCCTACCTGCCCCATCTGCCCCAACCCTACCACAACCAAACCTTGAGGTGAAGCTAAACCATCCACCCATTTTCATCCCCATCTCTCACAACGAATATTCAGGATAACAGAGCCCTTGAGGCCAGGATCTGAACCTGACCCTCCCCTTAACCTTGATGGCTGTGTTGTCCAGCCAAAGGCTGTCACTGTGTCTGGTGCCTGGAACCCTGTGTGCTAAGAAAGGTGGCATTCTGCTGGGTGGAGCTGTGACGATGATGCTGGGAAACTGACATCTGAGGTTTTTCTGGTTTGGAAAAAGAGGATTTTACCTTTCAGCACTTGCCAACCTGATAGGTGTGCCAAGAATTTCACACTTGCCAAGAATTCTACATTCAATAAACACACACGTGTATATCATACCCCTCCCCCCAAACAGGCATAACTTATTGGGTCAAAAACCAGCTCTTAGGGAGGAGGATGATATGGGTTCATGAACCTTTCTGGTTTCCACAACACAATCCATTTTAACCTCCGTCAGATGACCTGAAACATCCCCTTTATGTTGAAGTTTGGGTTTCAAAGCAGGAAAGCTAAGGCTTGATTTTTGACCTATAAGATTTTTGTTGTTTGTATTATATAGGTCTATTATACACACATCAAATGTGCAGGTATATTTAAAAAAAAAAAACTTTGGGGGACTTCTAGGTCCATATGCTCTTACAGACCTGGTTAGTGGACTCCGTTTGGGGGTACTGTTGTCCCTGTGTCCCTTCCTTTCCTTTTGCCTACAAAGTGCCACCAACGGCTGAGCTTTAGATAGCCATTGAAATGGAGTGTGTCATGTTGGGAGCTGATCTGTAAAAGTTCCTAAATCAAACTAAAGGCAGTGACCCAAATGAAGTCATACCTGCTGCACCCCTGTGAGTGTCTACACGAAAATATGACTTGAATCTGAATTATTTTGGTACTTAGCACCTCTGTGCTAATGAGAGAGGATAGGGTAGGAGAGGGCAGAGTTGCAGACGCTGCTCCCCAAGCCCTTAGCATCTCCAGTTCCTGGTAGTGGGCCACATAAAGAGGCCAAGAGTTGGCCAGAGCCCTGACCCACAGTCCTGGGATCAGCCCAAGGAAACAGCACAGAGAAGAGGGAGGCAGAAAGGCCAGGATTCCCCAGGGCTCATGCACACAGTCCATCTCGATGGGTGTCCCTGACCCCAGTTTCCTCCCCGCACACTAAACCCTTCCATTTTTTCAAAACACCACTCCAAAGTGTATATGCAAATCAGGGTGCGAATAACATCATTTCACACCTGCCTGTAGTTTGCTGTGTCAGGCTTATCCGGCTTGATGAAAAAGATGACCATGAACCTATGACATCCACTTATGATCCCAGGGAATATTGCAAAGGTGACAGGCTCTCACTCGTATGATGATAGTACACTACATAAGACTCCCTCTTGCTAGCAAACTCACCCAAAGGCTGGCTTGCTGAAGGAAGCTGCCATGCTGGGAAAGTCCAGGTGCCAAGGAGCCGTGAACAGCCTCTAGGCACTGCAGGTGGCCCCTAGGAATTAAAGAAATCCTCCAGCCAATGGTCAGCAAGAAGCTGGGCCCTCAGTCCTACAACTGCCAAGAACTGAACTCTGCCAGCCACCTGCAGGTGCTGGAAGGCAGCTTCTCCCGGCAGTGAGCCTCCAGATGAGAACACAGCCCAGCCGACAGCTTGACTGCAGCCTTGTCAGACCCTGAGCAGAGGACCCAGTTAAACCATGTCCAGATTCCTGACCCAAGGAAACTGAAACAATAATGCATGTTGCTTTAAGCCACTCGGTTTGTGCTCATTTGCTTCACAACAGGACAGAGCTAACACAATGACCATCTTCCACCAAGTTACCAAATATGACCATATGTCCACGTGGAAGAAATCTACAGATTTCCTGAACCACTTATTTAAGAGCAGTCCTTTTTCTTTCGACCTGTATTGTAGGCTTATTAGGAAATGAACACTTTTACATTCCTTACAATTTCACATATTAAGTTCAATCAGCATTTTGATGGAAAAAGCAGAAAGGGAGCAGGTTCCTGTTTAAGAGAACCTTGAAAGTATAAACCTAAGTACTAACCTTAAATCAGTTAATTGTTCTTTTCCATGGGGACACCTTCCAGGGTGTGGTAGTGACCAGTGCAGGCTGCAGTGCATATTAAAGTCTAATCCTAAAAGGCAAAGGCCAGAGAAGGGGGTACACTTCTAACACCCTTACTGCACACCTAGAAAGCTGAAAAATTGGCAAAGGGCCTCTCCGCTCTTCGCATGCACTGCCGCTCAGGGTTGTCCTGCATTTTCATTCTTCCGGGCACATCCAGGGGTTTCTGAGGGGTCATGGCTCTTGCAATCAGTGAAGGGAGATGTTAGCCTGGCCTTAAACCCCAGGGCTGGGTCCTCACCAACTCCAAACAGGCTAGATCCATACCCCTTCCTACTATATGGAGAGAGGCCAGCGAGAGACATTAATTTTGTGGCTCATAGTTTGCCAGAGAATTGGGATTACATCAGAAAAGATCCCACACAATCTCCAGCCTGATTTTTTAACTTGGGCATGATCAGGGGGTGCGGGGACCCTGGGATACAGGTCCCAAGGTTTACCCTGTGCAACGAATCACACACTCCTTTCCTCGGGCCAACATAACCTGGCTGCCCTCTTAGCTCATCTATGCACCACGTCCTTCCGCGTCTTGGAATAGAAGGCCATAGCAAATGCCCTAAGGATGCTGGGGGTTCCTGAGGCGGGCAGCCCCTTCAGAAGCTGTAGGTGTCTCAGTGACAGCTCTTGGGGACACAGATGCCACGCAAGGCCCCTTTGCTATCAAGCCACTAGAAGAGCCAGGCATTGTCAAAAGGATGAGAAGGAGAAGAGAAGACGGTTCAGAAGAATCCAAAGGTGGGTTCGGGGTTGCTGTTTTCCACAACTCTCATTGGCAGCCCAGGTCCAGCCTCCCTCCTGCATCCTTTTGGAAGGTGGGCAGCAGGGGGGGCAGCAGAGGAGGGGTAACAGTCCTCTCTCCAGGTTTATTTTTCCTCATGAAGAAACTTCCTCCTGCCTAGGAACACACTACAGGGCTGAGCTGTGAGGAACATGATCAAAAAGTGAACTCACTAACTAGGACTGCTTAAGTTTTGCCGAAGCCTCTAAATCCCCGAGGACCGCAGGCCTCCCTGCCCTGCACTCGGGCAGAGCAAATGAAAGCACGGGCACCGGAGGCACTTACCTGAACTGTGAAGCCTGAACTGCAGGGCCGTGGGCTCAGAGGCGCCCCTCCAAAGCCTGCGTCTAATTTTGTGTTTTGTACCGTCTACTGTTTCCCAAAGAGCGCGCCTCAAACTGTACAAACTTCAGTGCCCCCAAACCTGGGTCCATCCTTGGAAGGGACAAGCTGGGAGCGACCAGCCGCAGGTGGCAGGGAGCCCGCGGAAGCCAGGGGTCCCCCTGGCGGAGTGGACAGGCCTCACTGTAGCCAAGCGGGGTCACAGGGCTTGCGTTCCTCCGCAGGCGGGCGACGGGAGGGGAGGCGGGC